AAATATAACAAGAATTATGAACAATGCAGCAAAGTGCAGCGCGTGTGTGGCCTCGCTGGAAAAACAGAAAAAACAGACAAAAAAAGTATGGGGGATAGGAAAATATTTTTTTCAGCAGTTGTCTAAATAACGAAGCCAGAAAGCAAACGAACTAAATTGCTAAAAAACTGAAAAAAAAACAGAAAAATATATATACAGCGATGGCGGAATGAAAATAAACGAAAACGTAACAAAAATCAATTGTCGCCAACCAAACGTCAATACAAGTGGCCGTGCGTGTTGCTCTCTCTTTCTTTCCCCCCCATCGCCCTGTCCTTTTCTAATTTTCTAGGGTATTGGTGTGTATCTGTGTGTAAGTTTCGTCAAAATTCAGCCGCAATTGAAACTATTTGTAAGCGGGCAAGAGGCAGAGTTCTATGAATTTAATTGTTACGTCGACAAATGGAAAAGTTCACAAAAAATGCCATTTATAAATGGGAATTTTTAAGAATTTTATTTGTAAGTTAAAAGAAGATGTTTTTTTTTAAATATATAAAATATTAGAAATGTATTCTTTAGTTAACTTAATTTAAGTAATCCTTCAGTAAAAGAGGAAGATTTTAAATAGAAAAGTAATGGAAAAAGTCACTTAAAAATAAGCAAGCAATAAATGAGATTTTTAAGGAATTTTAAAGAAGTTTTGAATTAGAAAAAATTATAAAAATATTACAACTTTATTCTTTGGTTAAAAAAATAAAAAGCTAATTAGTTCAAATTCTAAAAAATATTACAAATTACAGATTATTTTTACAAAAGTCAAGTCTATAAATGTTAGCTTTCATATTTTTTATAAGACAATTTAAAGATGTTTTTAAGACTTTGTTTATGATAATATATATTATTTAATAGTTATTTATTAGCATAGAAATATTTACTTTAATGCATCAACCAATTATGAATAAGTTCATCTAGTCATTTGATCTTTAAACAAATGTAATAAAAGCCATATTTTATGGCCACATTTTATAGAAACCAATTGCCTAGCAAACTGATTTCGATTCTCTTTACACATTTCCATTAATAATAAAGTATGCATTTTTATATGATTTCTTTTATGCAAAACTTTTAATAAAAGAGATTAATTAAGATTAAAATATTAAATAAAATATGAAAACGAAACACAATCCATAGAAACTATATAAAATGTCAAAGTTTTCTATGGAATATCTAAAAAAAATAGAGGCAAACATGTTTGTTTTCAGCAAATGATGCCACCAATAATAAATTGAAAAAAGCTGAAACTGAATAAGATGAGGAAAAAACTGGTATGCGAAAATATTTGTCCCGCGTTTTTTGTTTTTCCCATTTTCTATTTTTCGCAAACTTCATTTTTTGCGAGAACAGTTGAATTGATATTTGCCGACTAGTTTTTTGTTTGGAATTTTATTTATTTTTTGTGTATTTTTTTTTTTGCATATTTTTTTTTTTGTTGCTGTGCGAAAAGGTGATAAGCTCAAGGACAATGTGGCAGTTTGGCATTGCCGGTTTTGCTGTTTCGCTGTTTTTGCTGCACTCGCCTAAAATTGTTTGTTCAATTGTGTTTATGCATATGGAAAATATCGATTTTGTTTTTGGACAACAAAGCGTTGGAATGCCAAACGCAATGGCCGTCACACAAACAATTGCCTCTATTAAGGTCGCCGCGCTGGAGTCATTTTTGTAGCACTAAGGAATGAGGAAGAAGTTGGTTTCCCCCACCACCTGTTGCCCATCTAAAACTTAAATTAAAAACAATTTTTTTATAGCCCTTCTTTTCTTTTTAGGTTTTTTTTTCTTCTATTTTTCGCACAATCCGAATCCTCGTTTGGGACACGCCTTCTATGTGGAGCATAGCCCAATCTCCTCGGCCAGCTAAAAACAACAACTGCCTGTTGCACTTGCTGTATATACTACTTCCAGTCAACTTCCAGTGGCCCCCAACACACACACCACCCACCGCCCACCAAACTATATGAACTATATAGTAGTGCAGGAGGGAGAAGGATAAAAAAAAACTGTGAGAAGGAAGCGAAATACGAAAAGTAAGCACAAAAAATCCGAAAGCCTCCCAATTGAGGAAGAACTACCTCCTACCATCGTTTTCATCCTGGCAGTTTTTCCATTTTCCCCAGCAGCAGCAACAGTTTATTTTTCCACAGCTCAGCCATACAAGGATTGGGGGTAATGCGGAAATCCAACTAAGCTTTGTAGGATTTTTTTGTAAGCAATTTGTGTAGGTTTTTTTAGGGAATTTAAATAATAAATTTAGTGTTTAACTGTAAAATTATTACAAGATTTTTCTAAGTTGTGTTTTGCTGAGCTAATGAAATAATATTTTAGAACTAAGAAGTCAAAATCAGATGATTTATATACCAAAGATAACACTTTACTCTAGCTTTCTTAATTTGGCATCATTTAAAAGTGAAATTTGATTGGGAAGATATTTAATAATATTTTTTAAATATTTCTGTAGGTCATAAAAACATATTTTTAAACTATTTCTAATTTATAAAATACAAAAAAACTTAGAAAAGAGTTTTAGTGACTTAATTTCACTATTGCGATGCTATAAAATAGAAAACTTTCTTTAAATAAAGTTTAACAATAAAAGTTTAGTTAAAAAAATAAAATGAAAGTCTTTTTGAGGGGTTGTTAAGTAGAGTTTAAGATCAACCTACTAATTTATATAAAATACTTCTTTAATTCGATTACACTTTTTATATATTAAATGATTTCCTAGAACTGCCAGCTTTTTAGTTTTCATAAAATGAATCACGAATTTCCCTGGCTGCCTATGTAGTTGTAGATGTAGACCTAGACCCTTGGCTTTAGGAGTGTGAGTCACTCGTTGAGCGATAAATGCATGGCGACTACTACTGCCCGACTTCCCGGAGTGACGGCAACTTGTTGCTGTTGCTGCTGCTGCTGTTGCTGATGTTGCTGTTGTTGCAACATCTAATCCAATCCAAGGCGAACAATGGCGAATGCAAATGCAGATGCAACCACTTCCTTTTGTCTGCCAGAGGAGGCGAGATGAGGAGGCCGTGTTGCAATTGCCGTTGTGCCGCTGATGTTGTTGCTTTTGCTGTTGCTTTTGCTGTTGCTGCCTTGTGTTGATGGTCAAGGTCATGAACCTGTTCCAATAACTCGTTTCTTACGTGCAGCATATACACACACTCACACACACACACACGGGTACACCAAGGAAAGCAGACTGGTAGTCAGATGAGTATGTGTGTTGCATGTTGCCGCCGCGCCGGTTGCCACACCACACCAGTCTAATGCTAATCCTGGCCAGCAGCTAGAAGCCGGGATGACTAATGGCTAGCCGCACAAATCAATTTGAGAACATGAAATTAAATTTCAATCCATCTCTGGCTTCTGCCACAAATTAAAGCTGAAAGCGAGTGTGTGTGTAGTTGTCCTCGTTGATGTTATTGCTGGCAATGCGGAAAAGCCTCAAGGACAATGGCGAGTGTAAAGAAAATAGCCACGCGTGGGCGTAAGTCAGTCTGCCCCCACTTACGAGTATATGCCCCATCTGATTCATTGTCTCTCTGCGACAGCGGCTGTGTCATAAATCGCCGCAAATGAATTATTCGAAATCAAATGCAATTGTGCACAAAGCGAATCAGTTGTGGAATATCTATATATATATAGACAGATATATACTCATATAAAAACAATAATAATAAAAGCATCAGACGCAGCCGTGTTTTCCGTCTGTCAACTTGAAATTAGAAGCGCATTAATTAGAAATTTTTATTATTCTCTCGCATTTAATTCGCTTCCACTTGTCTTTCTCTATTTCACCTTTTTTTTTTCGTTATAAATGTTAATTGTTATAAATTTTATATTATATTTTAGCTTTTTTCCATTCAAATTCTATAAATTTCAAGTTGACATTTATATTTGCGCATTAATTGCTTGTTAAGATTTCCGCGAAATCAATTTTTTTGTGTTTTTGTGGCTCATAAAGGAAAGCCCATTCATGAAAAGCATTTCAAGTGACAAAGTGTTAGTGAAAGCAAAATATTATGGGGGGAGAAAACAGGGGGAGATGCACTTATGGAAGGCACTTGTTGGGCTTCCGAATGCAATTGTGTTGATTTCTTGGACTGATGGAAAGTTTTTCAGCTTTTCTAGCTCGTATTTGTTATCTATTAGATGGTTTTTTGAGTTATTTCATGTTTTCTATTTTAGAATCATCTTTTAGTAATTTCTTTTGAGCGAAAAGCACGACCAATAGTGAGCAAATCAGTGCAATCATTTAAGGTGACTCACTTGCCTTCAGAGTCATCAATTTATTCAGCAGAACCAATCCCAAAATGATGGGAAAATAAAATATGAGACTTAAGTGTAGAATTTTTTATGAGTAGGAACAAATTTGAGTATATAATAACAAGGAAAAGTTAGAACTTAAAAGTAATTTATAATTTTTAATAAGTAGATAAATAAGCAAAATAATAAAAGGGAAAATAAAGTAAAAGGAAAGGTGTTAGCAAGGCATGAGCTTGTATCTATGTGCTATCCATGTAATTAATAAATAATATTTTAATATATTATTAAAAGAATATAAAAAAAGATAAAGATCAAGGTAATTAGTTTAATATAAATCAAGCAAAAACCCATTTTAATTTAATGAATATATTACAGTCAACTCAGGCATAGCAACTACTAATTTCCATTACCATTTGAATTCAGGGAAATCCCAAAAAAACTTTAACTGATAAGAAATAATTTCTATCAAAACGCAAATAGTTAGTTACAAAATAAGAATGTAAATGAGTAACTCTCGGCATGAAAAATGAAAATGAAACCCAGACATAATTTAATTAAATTTTATATTGTTTACGCAAAAAAAAATCGTTGCCTGTGTTTGTATGTAAAAAACCCCAAAGTGCTGGCTCATATAATTTTTCCCCTTTGTGGTAAATATATATAGAAAACTGATAAAAACAAAAACGAATTTTAATACTCACTTTTCTTGGCCAAACTGTCCCAATATTTACAAACTTATTTATGTAAATATTTTAAAAATTTGTGGTACTTTTTCTGTTAAAGTTCTATAAAAACTTTTGACTTTGTTTATGGGTATTTGGCGTTTCTTTTTTAATTTTGTTTTTTATGTTTTAAGCTTTTTTTTTTACTAGTATTACTTTTATTTGTGGTTGTCACAGCACTTTTGCATTTTCAGCGTTTTTAGTTTTTGTTTTGGTTTTTAGTGGCCGCCTGGCATGTCAACTAAAAAATTTTTGTCATAAGAAAAACGCACGTAAAAGGTTTTTCTCGCTGCTGCCGCCGCTGTTGTTGTTGTTGTTGTTGTTGTTGTTGCTCTTATTGGGGAAGAGGAAGCATTGCAGTAGTGTGTGTGTGTTTGTGTGGAAAATAAATAAAAAAAATTTCGCACAGCGCGACCAGCGTCAACAACAAACAAACAACAAGAACAACACCAACAACAACACCGATATACGACGACATTACTAATACGCAAGAGCGCCGGGCAGCGACGCTGGCAGCGCTGCAACAGCGAATGCCGCCTTACAACACAACGATCCGAACCCAAATCGGGCCTTGGCCAGACCAGAGAGATTGGAATCGCGATTCGCATCGAATCTCCGCAGAGAAACCGAGAATATGAAAATGCGAGAATTCGCCCGAGAATGTGAGAATCCGATTCCGAATCCGAATCCGAATCGGAGAATCCGAATCCCAAATCCAAATCCAAAATCCGGGACCGAAAGCGAACCGCTCGAGCCGACGGACAATAAAGCTAAAGCCAGCCTGCCACAGCTGAGCGGGACCGATGCAGTTCCTCAGTCGTTGAGCGGATGCACTCACACACACAACCAAGCACACCCATTTCCACTCAAAAAGTGCATTCATTTCGCTAAAAAAAAATGAAACTCACTCAAAGAGAGAGGAGAGCGAGAGTGTGTGCCGGCTATGGTGCACTGGTATTAGTGCCTTCATTCATGGCAGCCAAGTTAGCCGGTAAAAAAAGGCTAAAAGCGAAATTGGTTAACAGAGAGCCAAGAATATATATCTATATAGAGAAGTTGAGAAGGTAAAATAAAAAAAAAGAAAATGGTGGCCCAGAGAGGGCTTGTTTTTCCGCTCAAGTCGCGGGGAAGGCCAAGAGCAAGTACAGTGCAATTTTTAATTGCACACACACACACACACACACACACAGTGCTCTCTGAGAATTTCACACATTTTACACACACACATACACATATATACATATTGTTTTTTTCCAGGCAGCATTTTGTTCTCGAGTTTGTAAACGTTTTTGTAGTATGAGTGTGTTTATTTATTTATTTGTTTTTTTTTTTTTTTGTTTTTTGCAGTTTTTTAGTTTTGGTGGGTTTCGATTTGAAAAGTCCGCGACCGAATCGCCAGCGTTCGGCACTGGAGGCGCTCACTCACCGCTCGAAATGCAACTGGCGGCCAGCGACGAAGTGAACCGATCCGAGCCGGCTATACGTCTATATTCCAACATCCACTTCCACATCGGAGGGTCTTGTAGACGGCGGCGGGATGGGCGGCGCTCTACGTAGCCTACCGTTGCACATGCACTTTTTTTTTTAGTTTTTGTTTTTATTTTGGTTTTGAGCTTTTGTTGTTTTCTGTCTTTTTTTTATGTTTTTTGAGTGCGAGAGCGTACTGAAATTATTGTAATTCAGCGGGAGCTTCTCTGTTAAGAAAGTCTAGTTTTTTATAAGGAAGTAACTTAAGGATTCTGACCCCCAAATTGAGTGATCGCTAGATTGAGTACTTCGAAATGTATTTTGCAGATAAGCTTTTGATTTAGTTCTAGGAAATGTATAGTAATTGTAAGAATTTAGAGCTCTTCTTTTGTAAACAATCGTATCAGTTCTGTAACCCAAATAACTTTTTTGTTTTATTTTTGGAATGCTTCTTGAAGTTTGAACTTGTAAGGCAACCTAAGTTTATTTTTATAGTTTATTGTAATAGCTTACGTTTATAATAAGTGTTTTAACTACATAAAAGATTTGCATAAACGAATAAATATTTAAAATTTATGTATTTAATGAGAAATATTAATGCAAGCTCATAAAACATCTAAAAAGCTTCACGTCTAAAAATCTTAAAAAATAGCATATTAAATGTACATTTTTCTATACTGTGTTAACTTAAAAACCTGAAATTTATTTCTTTTATATTGTCTAGCAATCAACCCAAGACATTTATAAAATAATCACCTTAAATAGAGCCTGACTAACTAGCCTGAGAACGCCAAAAGGCCAGAGAATTACCCATTGACTATCTGAGAAACTTACCAACTTACAGCTTACTAACCAAAATACCTCAACTAGGAACTGATTGCCCACCTTGACGGCTGACCAAATGACATACTGAAGAATTGACTGACTGCGAGAATGACTGACTGAGAACAGAATGCTGCTGCAGCCTGCAATTTGAGTCGACTTGCAGCGACTCAATTGCATGTCATTGTAGACGAAAAATATTTTTAGTTTTATTGTTATTATTTTCCTTTTTTTTTGTGGAATATTTTTTTTCGGCTCAGCGTTGGCGTTGACTTGAACAACTTATGGACCGGACCGGAGAATGAGACGTGGGTGGGTTGAGGGAGAGAGGTGATGGGAAGTGAAGGGGGCTACTACTCTGGGCCTGGCCTGGCCCCTGCCTGGTCTCTGCCAGAATTTTGAGTCGTGACTGGTTTCAAGGTCCCTCAATTAATGCGAAAATTTCGTTGTAATTTTTGTTGTTTTTTTTCGCTATTTGTGTGTTTGCATGATTGTAAATGAAAGAAACAAAATTCGTGTATAATAAAAATAGTAATTGTTTAGTTTGGTTTTTTGTTGCTTTTTTTCTGTTATTTGTTTTGGTTTTTATGTGCTGCGGCAGAATTGTTTTTTGAATGCTTTTCTAATAAGCGAAATATTTGTGCATTTAATTGCGCTAACCACTGACCTTGAAGGCTTTTGCATAGATCTGACATTTCGAAGGGGTTCAGGGGGGGTGTTAAACGGGGTGGGAAAATCAAGAATTGTGCTAGAAAAAAACGTTAGAAATCAGCGGACAAAGATTGCACCAATTTATTTGTCTTAGCTGAAAATGAAGTCTAAATATTTTATGATTTATTTTTAAATTTGAAGTATGATTTCCCTTAAAAAAGAAACCATACTCACCTTGAGCTGCAACAAAAAGAAACCTTCAAGGACTTGATGGCAATGCACTTTAAATTGCATCTTCCGGTAAATCTGAAAAAAGTACCCAAAAAAGCGAAGCTCTTGCATAATTATCCTTTGAGCTTGAAGTCCTACACTCACACACACACAGACACACCCCTGGCCAAGGATTAATGCCCACATCCGCTCCTTCGAACCACTCAGCCACTCGGCACAAGTATGCCAAAAAAAAAGGAAACCCAAAAAAGGAAAAAAGGAAAACCAATGCAAAAAACAAGAAGAGGAGAGCTGAAAAAAAAACAGAACTTCAAAACATAATGTCGCCATCAAGGAACATATATAATTGCTGTATTTACAAAAGATAAAATCGGCGACAACATGCACACGACCCGAACTTGTCGAATCCCAAAAAACACACACAAAAAAGTGCACCAGAAACCAACGAAATATGCGGTGAAAAAAAATGAATGAATGACGAGCGGAGCAATTAAAATTAAAACCACGTAAGCAAATGCGACAAAAACCCCCGAAAAAGTCGGTGGAACGAGGGCAAGGGGCATGCAGCAGAGACACTGAAAAATCCACCCCAAAGCAATTGCATTCTGTACACACAAAAGATGCACGAACCAAAACGTGCAATTTGTGTTGAATGCATTTCGAGAAAAAAAGCAAACAAAAATCGCAAAAAAGTTCCCCAAAAAGTGGTATGCAATTTTTGCATAATGAAAAATGCAGCAGGCAAGACACACACACACATACATAGACATTCTATAATGAAACGCATGGTATGCATGGGCATTGAAAGCTGAGCTGCAAGCCGAGTTGAGTTGCAATCAAGACCCAAAAATATATATTCTAAAATTAAAATGCAACGGCCTGACGCAATGCAAACAGCCAAAGGGGTGCAAACACAGACACTCACACCTATACACACTCATATCGAAAAAAAAAAAAAACAAACAAAAAATGCATCACGCACACACTCATGCCCAGTACGGAGTACAAAGAATGCATTTTTGTGCATCTTGAAGATACTCTTTTGGTCTCGAACAGGAAGGAAGGGAACGTAGAAGAAGGGACGGAATGCCAGAGGGTTAAAGGGTCCAGACTCTCAGACTCTCTTCGGCTCGATTTATGAACAATCTTCAAAATGCATTTTTCCTACAAAATTATGCATTTCCTATGGGCTGGTCAATGGGGAGGGGTTAAGGAAAAGGTTCTAGGAAGTTGGAGATACTCTTTAAATTAAGGAATGAAGAAAAGTTTGATTTAGACATTGGATAGATTTTAAATTTTAAGTCAAGGAAAACACTACAGATTTCTGTATTAATTTTTATAAATTTCCTTCTAAATAATTTTCGTATTAACTTAATTTCCTCAAATGTATAAAAATCATAGGAAAACTAGAAATTATTCTATGAAATCTACATAGTCAAGGTATTCCTGAAACTAATGATAATATTTGTTTATTTCCTTTAAGAAAGAAAACACTTTTTTAGTTAGAAATATAATCATTTCTAAACCATAATCAGTTTCAGGAAATTTTTATTCGGCACTTAGAAAGAAATAGTTGAAAGTCAAAGATTTACTTCAATATTGGTGAATATTTTTATATTTATTTAAAATATTTTATATATATTTTACATTTCCATTATCATAATTCATGATTTTTATAGCAATTTCTTACGACTAACCTTCTCTAAAAACCCAACAAACCCCTTCCAAGGGCATCGATATTGTCATCTTTTAAGTCCAGCATTTGATTGGGCCAAATGAGAAGCGCCCAAGTGCCGCGCAGGAAGCCAATTGCATCCGTTTTAAGTCCCGGGGACAGGCAGCGTTTGGCAACTGTGCAACAAGCAACCTGCAACCTGCAACTGTGCAACTGGCAACTTTCAACTGGCGGAACTGAGCCAAGTGCCAAGCGCCAACTCTGGAGCGGAAGTAGCTGAAATGAGCTTGGGAATGAGTTAAGCTGAGTGGGCAAGGCGATGGACTAAAAACATAAACATTTTCCCCGCGACCATCATAAATAATGAGGCGAAATTAAACTTGCAATTAGATGAAAATCAAGATAAAATCAGTTATAATTGCCCGATGCTTAAGCGGTATTAAGAATAAATGCCAAAGACATTAGGCGACATGTGGAAATGGTTTGGAGAATGTGGTCATGATCCGGTTATGGCCAATCATCAAGAGCACCGATTGAGGTCCCCAAGGATCAAGATCGCAGCAGGCCCCAGGGATCAAGATCAGCTGATAGGAAATTCTCGAAATAACCGCCACTGAATCATTTTCCTGCTGATTAAATATTTCTTTTTTACTCGTTTTTCACATATTTTTAAATTTAAACAGCTCTTACAAAGGCAAACGCCATCCAAGGCAAAGATTAAAACAAAAATAAATTAATTTACATGCAGATTAAAAAAGAGCGAACATTTTTACATACTCCCTGATAAGCTTTGTTACGTTCTTTCCCATATATATATATATATATATATAATAACTTCATTATATTATGATTAATTATAGTTTTTAAGCTGCAATTACTTTTGGGTTACTCAATCCGCTTTTCCGAATATTGTATGTACGCTGCATGTTGCATGACCTCATGTGGCAGTCAGAGCAGGGTGCCCAGCGTAAGTGTAAACGAAAAAATCCAAAATAAATAAACCCCCAAACGCAATGAATTCAGCAAATAAGCAAAAGTAAACTGGGGAAAAACTGACAGCCGCCCAGCATTCAAGCCAATGACCAAGAATCGGCGACAACAACAATCGAAAAGCTCACAGAGATTGCTGTTGCAGTTGCTGTTGCTGCTGCTGCTGTTGCTGTTGCTGCTGCTGCTGTTACTGCTGCTGCTGAGGCCAAGGAACTCGGGAGCAATACAAAATTACTTGGCCTTGGTCAGGCACAGTGCACACATATAAATATTTTAAATGTTTCTGTTTTCCTTTTGCTTTTCTTTTCGATTTGTTGACGAGGTTCATTGTGCGTTTCAGCTTGTTGTTGCTGCTTTTCCTTTTTTTTTTATTGTTATTGTCATATT